CCAGAAACTGAATGTTACGTTGTCCAGAAACTCACAGGGCTCCTCAGAGAAGCGTTCGTGCAGCGTATCAACCACTGCCTGCTGAATCAACTCTGATGGAATTTTAGTTTCTCTTGGGACATTTAGCATCTGTCTACTGCAATAGGTAGATGGACAGGAAGAACAGTCTGAGACCACATAAAAGCAAAATCAAGTTTCTAAAACTGTTTTAACTGTGAAGCAGATGAGATACAAGATGGTCATGGGTAAGAACTGAAATGTGTGTTGTACCCACCAGGAATCCGAGAAAATGGCTTACACCATATAAGTTTACCATGTGTGCAGATTGGGTCCTGCCTTTCTTACTTCCCCTCCCCCTCCCTTCCCCCCTGCCCCAGTCCTTTTTGTTTTTAATAAAACATTTTAAGTTTTATGAAAGATGACTGCTACAGCTTTTATCAGTTATGGCACAATTTAAGGAATATATTTTCTCTTTCTTCTAATACTCTCATGATATGTTGTATAAGTTATTATTCTGTTACTTCCTTTTTATGCCTAGTAGGCAAAAGCAGTCACTTAAGGCATATCTTGACATTATTTTCTCTAAGAGTAAAGAGGGTTTTATATATTTTGCAGCTGTACTCCAAATAAAACCACATAATTTTGAAATAGGCACTTTTTTTTAGTTTTATTCTTACTGAAATTGTCACTTCTGTAACTTGCCTTTCTCCTCAAGAAAATATAATTAAACAAGCTGTAATGAAAGAGCTTCTCTCACTGGGAGGCCATTCTACTGTCCAACATATTCCACAATTGTGTTTTCCTAGGTAGTCTAATTAAATGTGCTTGTTTATAACCCTTCACAGACAATGTGGTTCCAAACACTACCCTAATTATTTATCATCATCCTTCTTGCTTCTAAATATTTTCAAGTTATCATCACTTACTCTTTGTATCCACTACTTCCCTAAGCTCGAGTTCAATTTTGTCAATTTAAGTATGGGATTTATTTGGTGAGCTGCAATGTATGGAGACAAATATACAGCCAGCCACTAACTTACTGTTTTTACATGCTATAGAAAAATATAATCTACAAATGGTAAATTCTGAAGCATATAAAAATAATTTTCATGAAACTAGCACTTTCCATTTAGCTAATTTGGCTGTAATTTACCCAATACACAAGAACACAAGCCCTGTGCCCTCTAAACAATACAATAAAAATCTGCTTATGCAAAATTTCTCTTACTTTTATTTCAGTTCAGTTGCAAGGCAAGAACATCACTAAAATCAGTTCTGGCACTCCAAGTCAACTTCACCTGTATCCTTATCATAGCAGCACCTTTTGGATCTACTGTAACTCAAGAGGTGTCTGTTTTCACCACACTTTCCCCAGCAATCTGTGATTAATATTGTCCAGCCTTTTATCTCTTGCTTGTATTGGAAAGGATGATAAAATGTGGGAAAACTCTGGAGGCAGGTATTTCAGATAGCTCTGGATTAGAGATTTAATCTGCACAAACTTTCCTGTAAACAAAAGCCTACTGACAGTGAAACCCTTACCAAAGGCACATGCCTTTTGAGAAACAAAGTAGCAATATTTTTTTCACATATGGCAAACATATTCCAGAGAAGCAACACAAGCAGCAAAGTACAGAAAGAGTAAGCCAAATAAACAAATAAAGAGCAACAAAGAAACCCATTTTCAGCAACTCTAGACCACTCTTGCCCAGGGTAATCCAAAGAAAGTGAGAGGACAAGCAGTGTTAGTGTCACATTAGTGACTGCATGAGCAGTCTCTCAGTGGGGCTTACCATTACTAGCATACTTTCATAGTGCAAGAATTTCATTCTACCTTTACTGCTACAAAATCAGGGTACTAATAGTCATTAGTTGTAGTGGGTTTAGGTGATTGAAACTAAAAGTTCTTAGTAATAATTTTTTTGCACCATGTTGTTTAAAAAAAAAAAACAATAGAAGTGTTAATCAGAAGTAACTGCAGTAGCATTTCTGTGATCTACACGTTTGGTAATTTTCTAGATAGAACTCAAAATAAAACAATAATTATAGCCCACTAATCTACTGAGAATTCTCTCATTTATCGGTGTGATCTGGTGTTGAATAAAACTACTTCGCCCATAACCAAATACCTAAACCAGCTTTCTATTTGCAGCTGGATTTTCACTGCTTTCCTGATGACCTCTGAAAATACAAACTGTTTCAGAATACAATCAGTTACTTTGCTTTACACCTCAGCCAAATGTTTGTACACAAAAGTGTGGCTTTTTAGACCACCCTTGGAGACTGCTAGAGTGGCTGAAAAGGAGAGGTCAGCTCACTTTTTTGAAAACTGAGCAATTACCAATTAAAATCAAGCAATAAACTTTCTTGATTAGCAATAACTGCAATCCATCTTACACCTTCATTTTCAGGGACAATCATCTCGGTATTATGACATTCCATAACGTACTATTTCATTATCACACTAAAAAACAATAATCACATTAGCAAGGTTCCTGTCTCCTTTCCTCACATCAAGAGCTACACGCAGATATTGCTTTTAATTGCTTCCAGAGAAACATCTGGTCCTGCTGATGTAAATGAACAGACCAGAGTGCATCTCTGGGTGTACCTGACCACTACATACAGCTTGAATAGACTTGGCTTTGGGAAGCTTACCAACCACTTCAGCCTGATCCAGTACTGAAACAGTCTGGATTCACAAACAACTATAGTAGTCCTTCTGATTGCAGTGTGACAATAAGCTTTCAAAAATATGCTAGAATCAGCCAATTTGGAAAGTTGTACTGATACATGCGTGATAAGTGTTGGTAAGAATATGGTTCAAGACATCAGACACGGCTCACACGTTTAATCTAATGGTTTATATTAAATAAGAAGAACCACCATTAAATCTGGACAGATAAAGACACACAGAAGAATTAATATATAAAGGTAGTCTATTTAGCAGAGGCCAGCCTAACCACCATAAGATAAATCAGAATCATATTTGGTGAAAGATAAAGCCGAGCAGGTTCAAGTCTAGCTTTGTAAGGTTTTCATTGGTTGTTGCCTGTACTGGTAGAACCACCACTGTACAGGAGATGCATCACATACAGTCCTGACCTCTCATCATTTTCTGAGTTTGATACTTCATCTTTGGGGACTCGAAGACTCAGTCTCTGCATTATCATATTGTGAAAGATACAACATGCTTTCTGTGGCTGTGTAGTGTGTGCAGTGTAAGATCCTCAGTGATAATCTGCTGGTTTCAAGTGAAGTTTAAGTCTGTGTGTTGGCTTTAGCAAGACCTGGAACAGCATTAAATTAGCTTTTAAACTTGTAGGAACATATGGAAAACAATACTGGAACTGATCAAATATTCATCTCTGACAGCAATCAACAGCAACAACAAAGAATATAAGTACAGAAAAGCATGGATACTCTCCTATCTGTGATTTCAGCACTTCCTCCAGAGGTGGAATATCAGAAATGAAACAGTCCACAAATGATTTTTTAGATTAATTTGTCGAGGCCACTTTTGAATTCATACACATTTCAGCATGCAAGGCGTCCTGTGACAAGGGGTTTGGTAGCCTGATTGTGGATTTCACAAAATACAGCATTGTTTCACTTGTGTTGAATCTACCAGGTGTTACCTTGTTTTGATACTTGTTAGTTCACATTCTTCAGTGGATAAACCAACTGTTCCCTGTTTTCTCCATTTCACTTGCAGTCTTATAAACCTCGACTTTATTCCTCTCTAACCATAACCTGCAAATCATCTCTACTCTATGCTGAAGAGTCTTCTCTGTATATCTAGTCAATGATCCTGAGTTGGAACTAATTGAGTTGTTCAGTTGCTTGAAAGCAAGAAAACCCCCCCAAACCTTTAGACCGGTTTTTACTGAACCACTGGCTTGTAACTCACCCTGAGATTATTCCAGTTAATGTCAGCCTCAATGATGAAATTAAGTCAGAGAGCCAAATTAAAGCTCAAGCTGGTAACTTATTTAAAATGCTAACTGGATTTGAAAAAAAAATGAGAAAAAGAGAGGATAAATTAATTTAAACATACCCTCACTAGAATTCTGAGCTAATCTATTTAGAATTTTTTTTTTTTTAATACTGAGGAAAAATGAATCAGGAAGTATATCTGTCTTCATACTTTCTTTATCCACCAGGGACATGGAGCTATGATTGTCATTTGCAGTTTGACAACCACAGGAAACTGCCTGTAAAGAACCATGTTCAAAGCAGGAATGTAATACCATTTCATCCTACACTGATAAATTTCAGACACTGCGCATCACCTTTGCAGTTCTGCTGCAAGTTGGACATCCATTTAAGGACGTCTTCCCATGAGCAGAAGGTATGACACATCTGTCTCTGTGGGAAATTACAGGAGTTTGCCAGTTTAGAGTCAGTACCAGCAAGTTAATTGAGCAAGAAACTAAGTTGTGTTCCAGGAAAATACAGCATGTTATAGACTAGGGTGACATATGCCTAGTAGGAAGGTAAGCCCAATACTCCTTGGGGTTGTCAAGAGAACCAAATAGTTCACATACAAATTATCAAATCAGATACATATGAAACACAGGTTATGGTACAGAATGGAAAAAAAAATCCCAAAGAAGAGGTAACCCCCTGATAATCATGGTGGAACTGATACAAAGCTGATATAAGTGGCAAGAGCTGATACAAAACCATAGAAACATGTTTTACATGTTTTTATGGATACACATAGACTACAGTTATGCATTTATGAGTTAACATTTTGTGACTAAAGTGAGACTTACAGAGCTAAATTAATGGTCTCCTAACAGGTCTTTTCAGTATTTTACTCATAATCTGCACCAACTCCCAGCTCTGCTTCAGAAATTTACAGTGCGGGCTTTTCAGCCATGATTTCAGTCACTTCAAAATCACAGCAAAGAGTAAGTTTTAAATCCAAAACTGCTAACATTTTCTAGGACCAACACAAAGATGCTCATTCATTAACATGTGTGAAAAGCACTAACCAGCGACTGTCGGAAGAGGAAACACTTCTTTGGGTCAATACCACAGGCAAGGATGGCAGCAGTGGTGTCCAGTATGTTCTGGCGCAGAACAGCTGGCTCCTTGGGCATGGTGAGAGAGTGCATGTCCATAATGCTATACAGCACTGAGCTGTACTCTTCCTGCAGATTCACCCAGTTCTGAATGGCTCCAAGGTAGTTACCCAGATGAGGTGTCCCTGTTGGCTGGATACCAGAGAAAATCCGATCCACGACCATATTCTGTGGCAAAGCATTGGTAAAATTAACATACAGGGTTTTTTTGAAAGATTCTTTTATATTTAAAAGTCACTGAAAAAGCCTCATTTATGCTTGTCTCTTCTCTCCTCAGCATATTAATTTATAAATTATCTCAGGATTGATAATCGCAATAAGTCAGTTAAAATACTCTACCTTAATGCAGAGAGATTGACAACTACTGTAATTTTAAGCTATCAGACTGCATATGCAAAAAACTATAGATGTAAACAAGATTGGTGAAAAGCAGATCTCAGAAACCAAGTGGTAAGATTCTTTCAGCCTCTTTTGCATTGAAGTTGTATGTTTCTCTGTAGTTTCTATATCCACTATAGTTTCTATACCCACATTTTAGTTTCTATATCCATTCTGACATAGAAACTTAGGATCACAGTGCAGAGAAATTCAAACATTTTTGTTATAAACTAATGCAAAGTCCCAGTAGATTGCCATCTTAACTTCCACGAACACTGAAACCTTATTTTTCTAGCTCCAGAGAACATTTTGAGCGGTTCCTGAAAGAAATCTACTCCTTGACCCACAGGTTAAAGAATAATGAAAGAGATCATCAGAGTTCTGAAACTACCTATCTTGGTAGCAGTGTAGTTTTAAAAGGGGTCTACAAAGAAATACTGCTATAGCTCAAGATCACACCTGGATCACTGTCCATGCATCAGGACCAGTAAAATGTCAACATCTGAAGAGAGTTCACAGAGAAATAGAAAAAAAAATTACTAAGAAGCTGAGACTGTGAGCAAAGATTAGAAAGTTTGAAACATGTATAGCTTGGCTATGTGACAGTTACCATCTTAGAAAGTTTGTTTTCCTGCATCCCAGCTCTCCATCTGACCATTTTCTCAGAGTCCCAAGCTGTCAGCAAATGATCAATTACCTCCCCGACCTTTCCAAAGAATTCCACCATATTCAGAAGTAGCTCAGCAATGTTTCATGTGTAAATGCTTGTTACATGCCAAGTTGTAAGAGCATGCAAGACTGCTCGACTTACAAATGAGGGTCCCCCCAAACCTCAGCAAGGAGTCCAAGTCACAAAGCTGCACAACACAAACCTCAGAGTCTGTTGTGCGACAGGAACGTCAACTTCATTATGCCTGTGGCTGCATGATTTTTTCCCTGCTAAATTTTATGAGCAACATCTATAACTTAGCAGGGAGAATTTATTTACTGATGTAGTCTGTTTTCTTTTCTGTGAATCTTTTACAAATGTGTGGGGGAAAAAAAAAAGGCCACAACTATTAAACCACACAAAATGGCAGTAAAAATCAAGGCCAAGTACCATTATTTTTAACTAATAAAGAAAGGACTTCAAACTGACTTAATTAATTTTGACTCAGACTTAAGAAAAATTAATAAGAAAGTGTTTCCAAGTGGAATAGTTCAGAAAAGCCTTGCCTATTTCCTTCAAAATTTGCTGAAAAATTCTCTGCTTTCAAAGTAAGCCTGTTTTTCAGATCATGGCCATTTTCTTATCCAACATTTTAAGTGTTTGTGCTGACAGGCAAGAGCAGGTTTGGGCTAGCTGCCATGCTAATTTCTCCTGCTCACATAAATGCCTACACATTTAAGTCTTGGTGGTAACCCCTTCACCCCACCCCAAATATCTTCTTGACTTCTAGTATATTCTTGAGTCAATTTTGAAGTCTTCTTGGAGAACCTCCAGCACAGGAGCTGCAAGGTAGTCACTGCAATGAAAAGCACATAATTTCCTCCAACAGCAATTCCAGCTTCCAGTCCTTGACCACCTTTGCCTCTCTTCTCCATTACACAAAAATGGAATTATGATGTTCCTCAATCTCATTTGATCGCTTGTTTTCCTGGGAACCTACATCAGAGCATTTATCACCAGCCACAAAACCCACTCTCCTCACACTAAGCTACTATCTGGCCCAAGGACTGCAGACAGCTTCTTCTTAACACTGAGAAGGGCCAGATGCTCAACCTCCAGAAGGAGGCATACAGCATTCCAACGTATACAAATAAGTGAAGTCTTGCAGAAACTTGGGTAACTTGGAATATACTTGGCTTAGAGTAGTTGCTAGGCAATGCCACAGGTTCTTTACAGGGATAACATTTGTCTTTTGCTTCCCATGTTCCTGCTCTTCACCAAGAGAATAGGAAATCAAGAAGAAAATTAGGCTATAAATAGATGATCCCTAAGATGGTGTTCTGCCCCTAAAGGGACCCCAGAACAACCAGTTATTTGTCAGAGCACATAACGTCTTCTCATCTCTCTGTCTCTGCTCGCTCAGAACAAATCCTGATACTCCTTCCCACAGTTGTTTCTCCCCATAGTGCTGCTTGCTTTCCAGTATCCATTTATATGCCTGTTTAACCACACTCTTTTCACAGGCTACACTTTTCACAGCCCGACTCTCCATCTTCTTATCAGACAATTTTATCCCTTCTGTATCCTCTTCTTCCTCCACTTGTGCTTTCCACCCCTTGCTTCCCAAAAGAGTTCTTGCATGGTGAATCAAGACAATAAGAAGGCACAGAGAATACCATGTGGTAAGGTTATTACTGTTATTACTATTATTACTAATGAAGCTATAACTGCCTTGACTCCAGTGACGTTGTATAAAACATGTTTCCTACCTGCACAGTTAGAAAAGCTAAGAAACTTCAGAATGTGCTAGAAATCCACTGTGGATGTGCATCAGGTAAAGTATGCTAGAATGACCAAGTTAAAGCTGCACATCTTTCAAGTGCAGCCTAGTCAAAGGCAGCATCACCTGAAATGTCTCCAGATGTTATTCCTTCTTTTCCCTGGGACCCTGAAGCTAGTGCTACTTCAGCGCAGAAGCAGCTCTACCCCTTGGGATAACTGTCTGTTATTCTAGAAAGCAGGAATTTATGTGCAGTTAGCAGAGATCAGCTCATATGTCAATACCATGACCCAAAAAGTGCTGAACACTCTGAGCCTGTGGAGAACAGTTCTGTCTAGAAACCTTGTCAGTCCCCAAGTCACGCAGCAGCAGCAGGCCCTGTTTCATATGCTTCCCATAACACGTTATCTGCCTTTATTTGCCTTTTCCCCTTCCCAGATCACTGCCCAGTTGGAGATTATGTCACTATGAACATACTAGATGTCCCTGAATTTAAGTATAATACACTCAATACATAAAAATACAACAGTGACATTTAAAAAGACAGTTTGAGAACATCTTTCACCAAGAAAATCCAAACATCAGTGTCTCAACATAACCTGTACATTCAAATACTGCAAGTAACTCCAAATATTCAAAGGCTCACAATGAGCTAATGAAAAGTAGATTTGTTGTAATACTACATTAGTTAGCATCTGGTGATACACTCTATGTTGAAAAGAAAACAGCCAAGTACAGTGTAAAGTGGACATAGTTTCATATAAAGAGAGAACAAAGTTCTCTGTCTATCCAGTAATACCTGTGAAGGCAAGCATGACATCTTTACTGGTGCTTTGTACGTTGAAATGGTAAACAACTACTTATAAAAGGGTTGTTCAGTGTAAGGGCAATAAATAGCAAGTTAAACATGAGAAACAAACAGTAGCAGTATTATACTGAGTCTAAGCTCAGCAATTACTTAACTTAAAGTACGGAATTTGCAGAAACAAGTAAATCCAATAATGAAAACTGAGCTACACTGAGCCTGAGTAAAGCACTAACAAATACATTACAAAGAACCCACACTGGCTCCCAGCTGAGGGACCAGTTGACTAGAACTCTTTCATCTTTAACTCCTTTGATTCCATTTAACAACATAAAGCATGACAAGTTACAGCAAATAGGGTGGCATGAAATATTCCATTGTGTTAGCAGAAGTCTATATTAAAAAAAGCCTACACAAAACACCCCCAAATGAATCTTGGATTTCTCGCACTAAAAATATACAGAGAACATTGCTCCTTTGGAGAGAGTTTATGTTCCCTGTTTGTTCACTCCGTGAGAAGCAGCGGGCAGCATAGCAGCGTGGCAGGGGAGTTCTGCCTCGTACCATGAAATCATGGGGCTGGAATGCACTTCAATGAAGCTGTTAGGTCAGGGGATGGGAGCTGTGTGCTTGAAAGTACTGGAGTTGGAAAAGGATAAAAACAAAAGGAGTGAAGACTTCCCAATGGAGCAGAGTGAAAGCCACAAGACATGCAGCTCCAGCCCACAGGCACTCACTCATTCAGACATCTGTAGTAAGCACAGTGTGAGCCTGCTGTTCGTATGTTTAACTCTGTGTGGTGTGTGCACCTACACCAGCAGTGCTGCATGTTAATCTTCATTCCTATTAAGAGTGTAGTAATTGACAGATGATTTAACATCTACAATTTTTTATCTCTCAATCAGACTTTCGCATGGCAATTCCAAACACCACAGTGCATTTCTCGGCCGCATTACCAAACAAAGCTCAATTCAAAACCCATTAAGATTCAGGTGTTCTCTTACCTAACCTCCCTTTTCGCAATGAGATAAACAACTGCGGCTTCTTATACTGAAAAACTGTCAATATCCAAATGCTCTCAAACGATCAGGAATAATCATTACATTCTTGTCCCAGAGTAGGATGGCTAAAGTCTGGTCCTGAAATCCTGCAGTATGGCCATACCCATCTTCAATGCAAAAGAGTATACTGGAAAAGATGACAGCTTCCAAAATCCAATGCTTCCCTCTTGGACCAAAGCAGAGCTCTTCTGAGTATGCCACACCGGTAGTAGGAGAGCTACAATTGTCAAGGCCTCAATTCAGCAGTAAAAAGCACACTCACAGTCCCTTTCTTGAGATAAATGTGCCAGAACTGGAAGATTAAAGTTGCTAGAAATAAGAAAAGATCCACACAGATGAAAACATCCCATACCACAGCCAGTTCTTAGTATCTGGATTATACATTTCATGTTTAGCATTATAAATTCTGTGACTGTTGAACACAAGTATTTACCTGTTGAATACATGTATTTGCCTGGCACAGTCAGCAGAACACTGCTTCTCAAGTATGCAGTA